GTAAACATTACTTTTCATGGCTATAAGCCTGCACTAATACTATAGCCACTAGCTACTGAATACTTGAAATGTGGCTAATATGAATTGAGATGTGCTATATGTGTAAAACACACCAGATTTTGAAGACTTAATGCAAATAAAATGTAAAACATTGCATACATATTTTTATGTTGATTAGATGTTGAAATAATACTTGTATATATTTAGAGAAAATATGTTATTAAAATTAATTGCACCTGTTACTCTTTACTTTTTAAAATGTGGCTACTAGAAGTTTAAAATGATATAAGCGGTTTGCATTATATTTTTATTGAACAATGCTGCTGTACCATTAAAATAAATTATTCAAACTTTGATAATAATAACATGTAGCATTTATAGGGCACTTAGAACATCCCAGGCTCTTTACGTACATGGTCTAATTTGGAATCTTTATGTTTTGAATAGAAAAACCAAAACAAAAGTTGATGAACCGCATTTTGTTTCCTTTTTTATTTTTTTAATCTTTACCCGAGGATATTTTTCCCCCATTGCTTTTCAGAGAGAGTGGAAGGGGGAGAGAGAGAGAGAGTGAGAAACATTGATGTGAGAGAGACACAGCAATTGGTTGGCACATGGCAGGGGATCGAGCCTCAACCGAGGTACTTATCCTTGACCGGAATTGAACCCGGGACCCTTCAGTCCACGGACTGACACTCTAACCACTGAGCCAAAGTATCGGGGAGGGGGGGAGGGAACTCATTTTCCACTCTGTTTCTCACGCTAGTTTTTTGTGTCGAACACAGAAGCTGCCTCTTGTGTGATGGATTGTGCTGGAAGTCACCCAAGGAGCATCTCTGTTCCCAATTAGAAGTGGAGGCAGAGCTGCTTATGGGGGCCCATTTCTTTATGCAGGGTATTAACTTGTAAATCCTCACACCAACACTATGAAATAGTATGATGATACCCTTTAACACATGGAAATGGAAACTCAGAAGTTTAAGTAACTGGCCTATGGTCCTTCAATCAGTGTATGGCAAGGCTAGGATTTGACTCTGGGTCTGGCTCTATGAGCCAACTAAATATCTTGGCAATTAGGCAAGAATGATGCCACTGCCTTCCTCTGTGACTCTGGGAAAGTCTCCTTATCTTCCTGTATCCCGCTTTCCTCATTAAGGGGTTGGACTCTATATGCTATTGGAGGATCCTTCTAGCTTTATGCAGGTAGGGAGCTCATCTCACTGTTCCCATTTTGGTTTTCTTTTCCATCTTGATTCTTATACTGTGCCCATCTGGTAAAGGACTAGAGGACCAAGGGAATAAACTGAATTATGGAAAAGCAGGATGGAGGGATATTTAGCATGGGAGTGGGGAGGAGTAGGGGAAGGAGGAAGAGGAAGCTCAGTTGACGAAAAATTCTGCATGGGGTCAGTACTATTACAGCAGGGCGAACAGCCTGTGGGATGCTCAGGTAGAGCAGAGCCATGGCACAGACCTGCCCTCCATCTCAGCAGAGATCTGCCTTGTATCTCAAAATATGAAAACTATGGAGAGAGCCTAAGAATGCAATGAAAATGTACAAAGGGTTAGAGAAAGACTTCTCAAGAAAGGACCAAAGAGAGGCAAGGTTAAGTCTGTATAATGTAGAGATTAGGTGAATGGGCTCTGGAGGCAGATTAGGGTCCAGGCTGGACTTTACTCCTTACCAGCTGTGTGATATTAAGGAAGTTCTGCACTTCCCTAAGCTGCAGTGTCTGCATCTGTAAAATGGGATAACTGTGCTCTTGAGTGGTGGTAGAGGTCAGGCAATACATTAGCAATAACAGCTGCCACATTTTGAATGTTTACTGTGTGTCAAGCACCCTGCATGAAAACAAACTCAGTGCCCATTAGGGCTGCCTGGGCCTGCAAACTACTAACAAGGATGCATTAAGTGGAGTTCTTGTCATACCTTTTTTAAAAAATATGTTTTTAATGATTTTAGAGAGGAAGGGAGGGGAGGGATAGAGAGATAGAAACTTTGATGAGAGAGACATTGATTGGCTGCCTCCTGCACATCCCCTGCTGGGGATCGAGCCCACAACCTGGGCATGTGCCCTGACCAGGTATCAAACCGGTGACCTGGTTCATGGGTCAGTGCTCAACCACTGAGCCACACCAGCCGGCTCTTGCCATGATCTTAATGGCATCTAGAAAAGGGCATTTGGTTGTTTTCTCATCCTACTCTGTTACTTTCGATGAAGTTACTTCTCTGAGACAGGTGACTGAACTATAAAATGAGATGATTAAAGCAGATGACCTGTAAGGTTTTTTTTTTTTGCTCAAAATGTACAATTCTGGAAACAGGATTTATTTAGAGTTGAGAAGGCTAACGAGATGCTAAAACATGAACTACACACACACACACACACACACACACACACACACACACGAATGGATGGTTATTGTAAGTTTGAGGGATGGTGAGCAGCTGTTCTCTTTTGACTGAGGATAGGACATGAGGCGGCACACTTTAATTGTTTTAGACTCAACATTTGGAAGCCTCTTATGATTTGGGAGGAAGAATAATATGTCGTTGGAGCAGGCGCTGAGGTTGCACACCCTGCGCTTATTAAAGCAGACAGCTGATTTTTTCTGACACTCGACTTTACTGTAACTTGCATAGGCTCCCCTGGTCCTGTGATGTAAAGTAGACCCTCCTTGTTCTTCCTTCACATTTCACTTGGTTGTTTTCCTCCATAGCTCTTACTACAATTTGTAATTACATATTTATTTTGGATTTAGTGTTTAATGTCTATCTCTTTATTTTTTATATGTCTTTATTGATTTCAGAGAGAGGAGAGGGAGCGGGAGAGGGAGAGAGAAACATCAATGATGAGAAAGTCATTGATTGGCTGCCTCTTGCACGGCCCTCTACTGGGGATCGAGCCTGCAACCCGGGCATGTGTCCTGACTGGGAATCAAACCGCTATCTCCTAGATCATAGGTCGATGCTCAACTGCTGAGCCATCCCGGCCGGGCTAATGTCTATCTTTTTAGAATATAAACTACCTAAAGACCAGGACTGTCTTTACTTGGCTTGCTTCCTCTGTCAGCAGTTGTCACATGGCAGGTGCTCAGTAAATATCTGTCGAATGAATAGATGGATGGATGAGTTCGAGAGGTGGTTGATTTGGTGGTATTGCTTCTGATGGAGTTGGATCCTCTGCTTGCCTTTTTGGTAAGAGAAATCCCAAAGACCTTGTCTTGCAAGGTACTTCAGATACCGTTTCTCCTTCCCACCTTCTTTTTCTGGGACTGGTCACCATGGATGTGTGTTTCTTCAGTTTTAATGGGATGCTGAGCACCCCTTCCTTGTGGACTGGTGAGCCTGAGTGGTTTTGGAGGATACGATGAAAGGGGTAGGTAGAGTTCCATTTGAGTTGGAACTAAGCTCAGTGGAGCAGGGCTTGACCTTTCTGGTTATTTCCATTTGCTCCCCAGATCACTCATCGTCCTTTTCCACACTGTCCTGGGCTCCAGGAAGTTGACTTCAGTGGGCTGTATCAAGAAGGATCCCTTGCTCTCTAGCTTCTTGTTGAGGTTGGCCAGTGGGAGGGCAGGGCAGGGCAGGGCAGGAAGATGAGAATAGGGGGAGAGAGAGGTTGGTCTGTGTGTCCCCATGCCTCCCTTCTTGGACCCACGAGCTCAGCAGAGAGGCAGGGGCAGGGCTTCTCTGCTGCAAGCCACAGATCCTACCTGGGAGCTCTGCTGTGGTGCTCCCTCCAGATTCTTGCAGACACTCCCCCTCTGTCCCTCCAGAAATAGCAGTGGCAATGGTTCCCCACTCTTAACTCCCCTAGGGTGCTTCATCATTCCCTGTTGTTACCTTTTGTCCACACCTCTGTGAATAGTCCCAACACTGATCTTTCAATCCCCTGTACAAATGAGCCATTCCTTTTCTCTGACAGTTTTCTAGGGCACCATTCCCTCATATTCTTGCACCCATTTTGTATGATACTGGGTAGTGACCACACATCTAATTGTCAGGGGACCATGAGGTATGGAATCAGAGGAGAGGTTAAAGGAATATTTTGTAGTAAATCCAGATATTATCACTTATACCCGAGGTTTCCATTTTTAATGCAAACAACAACAACAAAAAAATCCTCCTTTGGGATAGCAGTTTGGGGGACTTATTGAGAAAGGGGCTTAGCTTCTCTCTGGTCTCTCTCATGGGTAGGGCTGGCTCTAGCTGCCACTGCTCAGTTGGCCCCATGACCTCAAGCCCCAGGTAGCCGATCAAATCCTGATGTCTTCAGAAAAAATGCCCTAGTGTGCAGACACTGCAGCTCGCAGCTGCTGATCTGGGCCTGTTAGGCAGTTGTGCTTGCTCTTTTTTTCCCTTGGCTTTACAGGCCTTTGCTTCCCTGGTAAGTTGTTAAGAACAACCTCTCTGAGGTTGAAATAGCTTTTCATGGAGCAGACTGGAGCTAGGCAGCCAGCATGGCAGAGGGGAGGTCATGGAGTTGCCAAACAAGAGGTGGGCTAGAGGGAGAAGAGAATCATAGGACATAAGGCCAGCAGTGATGTACTGCTTTAGAATTTCCAAAGAACTTAAATGTAAAGGAACACATTTTTGCCCCACAAAACAGCTATATGGGGTGCTTGGCACTGTTATCCTCACTTTATAGATGCAGAAATGGGCTCTGGGATCCTTGAGCACCTTGCTGGAGAGTGGCAGAAGGTGGACTGAGACCCAGGCCATCCGATCCCATGGCCATCTGGCACCTTTTCTGCTCTCCCTCTGCCACCTCTGAGGGAGCAGGCAGGACTGGAATCTGTCTCTGGGATTATGATCTGGAGTCAGAAAAGCTGGACCCACCCCAGTGTCCTGTTCCACTTGAAGGAGAGAGCACAGGCGGCTTCAAGTTCAACCCAGGAGCTCTGGTTCCTGCATGCTCTCAAGGGCCATCTCTCTGCCCTTCCTGTCCCTCCTGCTTCCAGTGGCCTGACCTTGCTTTTCTGATCTTGTTTTTCAGAAGTGGAGCTGCCCCTGAAGAAGGATGGGTTCACCTCAGAGAGCACCACGCTGGAAGCCTTGCTCCGAGGCGAGGGGGTTGAGAAGAAGGTGGACACCCGAGAGGAGGAGAGCATCCAGGAGATACAGGTATTTCTGTGCCTACTGGGGGAGGAGGGGTGCCCCAGAGCATCACCGTGGGCTCCAGCACCAGCTCTGGTCTTCTGCAAGGGCCAGGGCTGCATCTCAAATTGCCTTGTGGCACCGTTGCTAGGAAGCTTGCAAATTCTTTTCTTTGACATGTCTCCCAGAAGTCATTGTTCCTCTCAAATCTGTTTCTTTTCCTTGATCTCCCTATTTATGTACTCAAAATGTATCTTGGGGGCCTGCTGTGTGACAGGCATGGTGCTACATCCTGGGGGACCAGTGGTGAGCAAAACAGATGGAATCCTCACCCCCATGGAGCAAACAGTCCATAGTACAGGCTCAAAACCTTAGTGTTGTCTTCACTAACTGGTGCCAAGTGAGTCCCTCCCGGTCCCCGTGCCTCACACTCCATCCTTGGATACATACAGTTCACTCTTCCACAGCACCACCCACTCTTCCCTCAAGGCCAGTGTAGAAGTCACCCTCCAGGCAGGGTTGGTGGCTCCTGCCCTTGTGTTCACACTAGTAAGGCTCTCATCAAGCAAGATTATAATGGTGTGCTCCGACCATTCCTTATCTATTTGTCTTGAATCCCCATTGTTGAATATAATGATTGTAATAATGTTAAATACTGTAATACAAATGTTAAATAATAGTATTAATAATGAAATATAATTATGATTACATTACATTTAAAGTTATATTTTAATATTTTATGATATACATGATATATTACATATTTATTAATTTCACATCCAATTTAATATTTACTTATTAATTTGTTAACATTATAATTAAATTAGTAGCAGTCATTGTTTGGTTTGCTTCGTAAGTACTACCAGTCTGAGTTCCATCAAGTCAGGGATTTTGCTGCCATGTTTTCTACTGTATCCTCGGGCCTTGCACGTGCCCAGCAGAGTCAGGTTTCAAGAAAGATGTTGAATGAATCAGTGGGTCTGGCCACCTTCTCTGCTATTCCCCTGTTCATATGAATGGTCAGGTCGTTTCCATTTAGTTGTCACAACGTGGCTTATTGTTCTATTCCTTCCTCGACTTCACAGAGCTGCTGCCCTAGTATGGATCTGTATTAGCCGTCACCTTGATTTGTCTGGCACACCTTGGAGTGATCTTCGACACCTATCTTTCTCTTGCACCCAATGTCTAATTCATCAGGAATCCTGTTGACTCTGCCGCAACACAAATCCCAAGCGTGGCTCCTCACCACATCCACTGCTGCTACCCTGGTCTCCTGTCTGCACTGTTGTGATTACTTTCTAGATCGTTCCCCGCTAATGGCTGGGAGGGAGCCTTGTAACATTTAAGTCAGATCCTGTTGTTCCTGTGCTCAAAACCCTGCTAGGGCTCCTGTTCTCTCAGAGAGCAAATCAAGGCCCCCTTACGTCTCTCTGACCTGTGCTTTCTCTGTCCCTTTCTCACTCTGCTCCAGGCACCTGGCCTCTTTGTGCTGCTACTGGAGCACACCAGGCATGCCCCTGTCTCTGGGCTTTGCTTGGCTGTTTCTTCTGCAGACGGAGTCCTCTCCCCAGACATCCTGTTGTTGCTCTCCCTCACCTTCTTCAAGGTTTTGCTTCTGTGTCCTCTTCTCTGAGGTCTCTGTATCCTGACCACTGTATATAATGCCATGTCCTGGGCCCTGCCTACCCCCTGGCACTCACCATTCTCTTACTCTGCTTTTCTTTTTCTCCACAGCTCTTACCACTATCTAATGCACTTTGCTTATTTTCTGTTTCCTTCCAATAGAATGTAAACTCCTCAAGAGTGGAGTCTTTGTCTGTCTTGCTCACTAATATATCTCAAGCACCCAAGCAGTGCCAGACACACAATAAATGTTTATCTAGAGAGGGTGCCTGAGTGAAGAGATTCCTCTGAGTCCCATCCCTAGTTCTCTCCCTCCCCAACACTGCCCGCTTTCTTAGCTGACCTTTCATCCCGAAACAGAGTTCTGCTGTGCCACCCTGTTGCTAAAAATCTTAGCTGAAACACTTGTGTTTCCTACTAAATAAATCCAAAATGATGAGTGTGTCCTTCCTGGGCTTCTCTCTGCTCCTAACCTGGTTTTTGAGCTTATTTCCCACTCCTTTACTCCCTCAGTTTTTCAGCCTTCTTCCTCTGTGTCTGTGTGACCACTGTGTCCTTAATCTGAGGTGCCTTTCTTCCATCTCCATGTGTACCAATTCCATCCATCTTTTAGGCTCAGCTCCAATACCACCTTCCCCATGAAGCCTTTCTTGATACCACCACAGCCAGAGGGTCTCTTCTTGCCTCTGGCTTTTAGGGGAATCTAGTACTTTTTTTTTTTGTTATTCATATATTACCATCTGTTTTTGGACTTTCAGATCTTTGAAGTCAACATCTGTCACAACTGTATTGCCCATTAGAGTATTTTTTGCTCATTTAGTGTAATGTGCCTGAATCAGTGAGTGGGACAGAACTGTTGCCCAGAAGCCTTGATGCTCTAGTGTCAGGCAGCCCTTTACCTTTAGAGCTGTCATGGATTTGAGTTCTCAGGCAGCACTGGTCCAGTATATGGGTTGTCACTGTGGAATCATCATCACTGTCATTCCTAATGTAAACTGAATGTCGACTATGTACAGAGCATGGGACTACCATCTACTGTGCTAGAAACTGAAACCAGGACCATAAGCCAAATGAATTTACATGTTTTTATTGGCTTTGATTATTAAAGCAAAGTACATATGTAGTAAAATGGACAGTTTTGTTAATATTTTTCATTCATTCATTCATTCAACCAAAGTTTATCAAGTGCCTCCTCTGAGCAGGCACTGTGCTAGGTTCTAGGGAAACAGAGAAACCAGGAGAGACCAGTCCTCTCCGCTCATCCTTATATTCTGGTGTGACAGAAAGCGGGTAAACAAATAGAATAGTTTCATTTCAGGATGAATGCCATGAAAAGAACAGAATATGAGGATTCAGGATAAGAGAAGAAACAGAATTTAGGGAGTGTCCTAAGGGAGAAGGGAATTTAACCTCCGTGCTGTGGGATGAGAAGGAGCCAGCAGTGTGAGGGATTTAGGGAAGAGTCTTCTGGGCAAAGGAACAGTTTGTTCAAAGGCATCAAGGTAGGTCTGGGCCCGTTTGCTGAAAGGATCGGGCTTGTGTGGCTGGAGCACAGTGCCAGGGAGAGAAGGCCTAGGATGGAGGTGGAGGAGTGAGTGGGGCCAGACTACTCCAGCCTCCCAGAACATGGAAGAGGCTCTTGATTTCATGGGAAATGACAAAGGAAGCCATATGGAGGATTTTAATCAGGACAGTGAATTTGTGTTTCATCAACATCCCCCTGGTCCCTCATGGAGGGGAGGGTAGATACAGGGCCAGAATTGGAAGGAGGGAAATCAGGAGATTTCTGCAGTGTTCCAGGCCAGAGATAATGGAATCTTTAAAAAGGAATGCCTTCTTTTTAAATAAAACACAACCACAAGCCATTGTTATCATCACTGTAAAGATTGTTTAGAGTAACAGGGAGAAAGTTATTTTAACATGTGTTTATTTTCCAGATAATGTCCTTGGACAGGGAATGCAAGTGTGTTCCTGGGGATCAGCTGCATCTCTAGTTGGACACCTCTGCCCTTCACTCCTAATACAGGATACCCCTCTTCTTCCTGTGCCCTGAATGTGACCTTTGTTTGTTAAGAACTCTTGCTTCTTTTGGAGTTATGTAGAGAGGCTTCTGGTATGGGGGCCTTGTTGCAGGAAATGCAAACACACTGGGGTGGCTGCTGTCACATCTGAGGCCTGGGACACACATAAGAGGTTCTAGTGACTCAGGGAAGCCAATGGGAAGAGGGAGGGATGGAGCCTGAGGGAGAAGTCAGTTTACTCCTAGATATGGAGGCGTGTGGCACTTCTGGGGACTAGCTCAGCTGCCTTCACCAGTCTTTCAATTTCCAACCTGGAGTCTGCATCGCAGGTAATAAACATCTTCATAATAAAAAATGAGAGGAGTCAGAATTGTGCCAAGGTGCTAGAGGCAATGACCTTTAAATTTGAGGCACTTAGAACTTACGATGATGAAATGACTTTGAGACCCAGAAAGTTTGCAAGATGGCTATATGAACAATAACAAGAGTCATAATAACTACATTTTTTCTACCGAAGGCTGCAGAGCATTTGACTAGTCCTTGTCTTGCTTGGCTTTTGCTCACGTTTCCACTTTCTTTCAAGAAGCCAGGATGCAGGGGGGCTAGGAGGCTTGCTCTGGACCTGCACCAGCATCTCCCAGCTGTAGGCCACAGGTCGTGTCCAGCAGACAATCCTCTGTTAGATGGCTGAAGTTGGCCCAGAGACTCTTAAGTGCTGTTAGCTCATGGCTTCCCAGGTAAACCTAGTAGAGAAGCCATAGAAGAATTTACTATACTTGTTTTGAGTTGTTTTGGAAGATTTGGTAATTAGCAGTATCCTGACCCCTGTGACTGGAACAGAATTTTCTGATGGAGGGGGTGGTGGGAGAAGGAGCAGGTCTCTGGTAACTTAACTCCTTGGCTTCCTGCTTTGAGGACAGGCCAAAGGCATTGTCCAGGAGGCCACTTGAACAGTGACGGTGATACCAGATATTGGTGTGGTATGTGCTGCTTTTTAAGCTTGTATATTGCTGTGTGATTGTCACATCATCACCACAGAGTGGATGCTGTTATCCTGTGTAACACTGCCCACTCACTTTGCTAGCCTCATCTTATGCCAGTCTCTTCCTGAGCCACTGAGCTCTGATCACATTGGCCTTTTTTCTGCCCCTGGGCAAGTCATGTTTCTCTCCCTGTCTCAGGGAGTTTGCTCATGCTGTTCCCTCTGCCTAGAGTACTTCCCTCTCTTCCTTCTCCCTGTCCCCATTCCAAGGCTAGTCTTTCTCTCCTTTATAGCTCAACTTTCTTAGGTCACTTTCTCAGGTAAGCCTTACCTGACCCTCAGATTAGTTAAATTTCCTTCTAACACCCTCTAGTAGCTGCCCGAACTTACTTGTCACTGTTTTTTATAGCAGTTGTAATTATATCATCATATAAGTTGTTTAAATCTTCACTAGACTTTCAAAATCTGTTTGGAGCCAGGACTGTAGCCATTTTCTGGCTTGTCTAGCACAACACCTGCTATGTAGTCAGCACTAGACAATGTTTGTTGGTTGAATGAGTGAATGAAATTCTGTTTTATAATTAGGAAAAGTGGCATGAAGAAAGGATGACTCACCCAAGGTCATACCATGAACCCATAAAGAAACCCCCAGAGCCTCTGACATGGAGTCTAGTGAGCTCCATGCTCTTTATCCCATTCCCTTATCCCACTCCCACTCTGGGGACTGGGTCCTCTGCTACAATGTCTCATCTTTCCCTTAAACCTAGAGATATATACCTTTCCTGACCTCCCTCAAACAGCGTGAAGTGTTCAGGTCCCCACAGGAGGGACATGCCATAATACACCTTGGGATCTTTAGACACCGGGCTGAGAAACAGATGGGAAATTCTGGGCTGATGAACCTGACCTTGTTTTGGTCATGGATTTGCTGTATGATATTGAACAGTGAAACCTGTTTTCAGCCTGTTTATTTTTTATTTAACTAATTAACTAATTAATTGATTTTTAATCCTTACCCGGGGACATGTTTTTTGTTGATTTTAGAGAGAGGGGGGGAGAGAGATAGAAACATTGATGTGAGAGAAACATCGATTGGTTGCCTCTTATATGCACCCTGACAGTGGATCGAACCCTCAAACTTTTGGTACACAGGAGCTTCCCGGCCAGGGCCATCCTCAGTTTATTCACCTGCAAAATAGAAATGGGACTCTTTTCTACAATGACAGACCTGTTTGAGAGAATTAAATTTATGATCTTTAAGCTCCATTTTAAGTAACGTTCTGTAATTTAAAAAAATCAATTTTTCCTTAAAAAATAACTGGGTGGTTATGAACAACACGTTAATGTCAAATTCTGGTCATATGAACAGGAAGTTACTTGTTTTCATCAAACAGGGCAAGGTTCCAGCATGGCAGGGAAAGGAGAAACCTATTTTCATATTTAGGAACAAAAGGAAAATTACATTAAAGAAAGTAAGTTTGACAAAACATCTTGGGTCCACATAGAAAATTGCCCCTACCAGAGTATTTTCTTGTAGAAAACCCTTCTTGGTTACAACTCAGAAAGAGTTGTAAAAGGTTGGTGTTTGGGGGAGACTGGGCTGGACAGGGCCCAGGGGTTTGAGAGAGAGTTGCTGTTGCCCAGGGCTCAAACTCTGGGCAGCATTTCGGAAGCCCTGGTTCTCAAGCAATGGCAACGCCTTCACTTTGTTTAAACAAAACAGAATACCCTCCCAAATTACCCTGACGGTTTTCTCCTTTGTATTTTATTTTTTAACCCCTCTCTTCATTTTCTTGTCATTTCAGAGGGTTTTGGAAAATGATGAAAATGTGGAAGAAGGAAATGAGGAAGAGGATTTAGAAGAGGATATTCCTAAGCGAAAGAACAGGACCAGAGGACGGGTAAGCTACGACTCCACGAGGAGCGAGAGATCAGGGAGGCTGAGGCTGAGGCCGCGCAAAACGCTCGCCCCCATTCAGAGTCCCGATGCAGCTGGAGAGCATGCCCATGGTCTTACTGCAGAACACTCAGGAAAACCCTGAGGGCTCTGATCCCAGGTGGTAGCTGCAAGAGTTTACAGCTGGAGAAGAGGCAGAGGTGCCCCAAGGGGAGGGGATGCTGAGGGTCTGGGGAAGGTTGGGGCTGGGATCAGTGTGAGGGTGGAGAACAAGGAAAATGTGACAGTTGTCCTCGTTACTTGGTCATAAAAGAAGGCTGAAAGTTTCCTGTCCCTGGGACTGCCGCAGAATGACAGGGTCAGGATACCTACTTTGTGGTGTGCTTTATTAGACAGAGAGGAGGACCACAGCTGATGTTTCCCAAGCAGTATGGCCTGGGCTTTGGAGGCTGGTGGTCATGGAATGTGGCAAGAAAACACCAGAAACAAGGGGAAATCTGTGGTGGAAGGAATAAAAATATGAGAATGGCTCTTGAAGGGAGGGAACCAAACCAGGGTGGTGGTCTCAGGTATTTAGGTTGGTCCTCCAGAGTCTTCATGTTCAAGCCCAAAGGGGCTTTTCATGGTCAACTTCAGGGGTCTGCAAGGGTACCTGACAGTAACCAGGTGGAGAGGGACCTCTGGGTGTAAACTGCTGCTTTTCATCTAGAGAATTAATCCTCTTAGTCCTGTATGGCTCCTTCAGGCTCTAGGCAGGACCCATACATTTTCATGGACAAGAGCCTAGTCCTGGGTGCCCCCTATGTTTGGATCTAGTGATAATTATGGCATACCTGTCTACCCCTGTGGTTCTCATGCCTTAGTATACAACAGAAACACCAGGAAAGCCTGTCAGAATGCAGGTTCCCAGGACCCAATCCCAGAAGTTCTGATTTAGGAGGTCTGGGGCGGAGCCTGGAGAGCTTGATCATGACAAAGTTGGGTGGTTGGTCTTAAGGAATTTCTCATTCTAAATTTGGTTGAATGATGGTATTTAAAGTGTTCCTCTGGCCTTTACTTCCTGAAACTGGCAGTTTGATTAGAGACTTGATTAAATTCAGGATATTTGTGTGTGTATAAATATTTTTTTGGTGGAGCAAGAATCTTTTCTAGGTGTGATGTTTGAGACTTACTGTGTCACATCAGGAGGCATACGCTGTCCAGTTGTTCTTCTGGTGGTGGTTAAATTGATGTGTGGATTTGGGTGCTTCAGCCTGAGCTCTTCTTACTAAGTTCCCCATTGAGTTTTCACCTAATTGCTTTTTTTGGGTTTTTTTAATCCTCACCCGAGGATATTTTTTCCATTGCTTTTCAGAGAGAGTGGAAGGGAGAGAGAAAGAGAGAAGCATTGATGTGAGAGAGACACATCGATTGGTTGCCTCCCATATGCACCCTATCCAGGGCTGGGGATTAAGCTTGCAACTGAAGTACATGCCCTTGGCTGGAATCAAACCCAGGATCCTTCAGTCTGAGGGCCGACACCCTAACCACTGAGTCAAACTGGCTATGGATCACCTAATTGTTTTAGCAGCCATTGATGAACTTGCTTAGACCCTTGAGTTCATTGGAAGTTACAGAATGATGAATATCTAATTCTATCATTAAGGGAGGCTTTAGAATATAGAATTTCTGGGCTTTTGGTGAACTTCAAGAGCTGTGTGTCACTTCCAGGCCTGCTTCCTTCCCAAACCAAACTTAGCAAGTAGATTGTGGAAGGAGAATGGTCTTCACATCTCCATTCCCAACCTAAACATGAATAATTGAATTCGCAGTTATTAAGTATGAGGAGGGGGTCTTTGTATGAACATCATAGGCAGTGGTTAGCAGCAACAGCCCTTTTTACTTACTGTGTACTTACTGTACACCAGGCACCGTGATGAGCTCTTTACAGTAAGAGCTGACATGCGGAGAGTGATGACTGCACTTCATACTCACCCACTGCCCACTGCCCACTGCCCACTGTCCTGGCTGCGCAGCTACTGAGCACTTACAGGGTTGCTAGTTCAAATGGAAATGTTATGCAAATGTAAAATAGGCACCAGATTTCGAAGACATAGTATGAAAAGAATGCAGAACATCTTCATATTTTTATATTGATTACATATTGAAATGATATTTTGGCTATATTGGGTTAAGTAAAATATGTTATTAAAATTAATTACTCCTGTTTCTCTTTTTACATGCTTTTTTTTTTTTTTTTTTAAATGTATGTACAGGAAAATTTAAGATGACACGTGTGGTTTGCATTGTATTTCTATTGGCCATTGCTGCTTCTTTCATTCCCATAAGTTGGTGTTATTTCCACAGAGGTTAAGTTACTTGCTCAAGGCTATCCAACCTAGTAAGGAAGAAGTCAGGATTTGAACACAGGTCCATGTTTTTTCCACTGGGTCATATGTAGCCCAGTCCCACTTTTTTGAATGAATGATTAAATGATGGAAAAAGAAAAGTCATATTTCAGCTTTGTGGGAGCTGAGAGAAAGCCTGAACATAGCAAGGGGGCTGGATGGGGTCTAGACCAGCTTCGGACCCACCTCATGTTGGCCAATGGGCAGTTGAATGGCTCTACATTGTGCAGTGACATTGCGGACCTGTCACCCATGGTGGGAGACATGGGAGGACCCACAGGAATGTAGTGAGCCTGCCTGGGCTGGAATAAGTGTATGAGGCTGCTCAATTATCCATCCTTTAAAGTGGTTTGTTCAAGCTGCTGCTGGCTTCTGGAGAAGAGTCACATCCATTTCTGTTGTCAGGACTGAAAGGCAGCTGAAGGCCATGCATCTGAGCGCATGTTCTCTGGACTGCAGCATCAGTATCACCTGAGAGATTGTTAGACATGCAGGACCCCACATTTCACCCTAGAGGGGCTCAAGTGGAGCCTGCACTTTACTAAGTCCCCCAGGTGTTTGTGTGCTCATTGAGGAAACCAGGCCTAAGGTAGTGTTTACAAGAACAGCCTCTGTATTGTTTGAACCATGAGTTCAAATCCCAGCTCTACACTTACTATTATACTTTCAGTGAATTATGTGACCACTGTGACCTTGACCAAATTGTACTCTGGGCCTCGGTTTCTTCATCATTAAAACTGGAGTAATAATACACAGCCAATTTTGAGCGCTTAATAAAGGCTAGATATTATTAGGAGGGTGCAACCAAAGGGAATAGCTCTCAGAGTTCTGACAATGGAGATTCCCTGAGGGATAAAAGAAATTCAGACCCAACAATGAATGATTGTGTCTGTGGTAACTTTAGTCCAAGAAGTCCAAGCTCTTTAAAATTCATAAAATTCTTGTGAGTCATTCATGCGAGTATTATCAATCAGTAAATATTTATTGATGCATTGTGGTGTAGTTCAGTGCTTCTCCAACTTTAACGAAGCACCTGGTGATCTTACTAAACTGCCATTTCTGATGCAGTAGGTCTGGGGTGTGGGGACTGAGATCCTGCCTGGTTCACAAGCTCCAGGGTGATGTCAGTGCTGCTGGTCTGAGGACCCCACTTATTTATTTATTTATTTATTTATTTATTTATTTATTTATTTATTTATTTATTTATTTATTTATCTTTATTGATTTCAGAGAGAGGAAAGGAGAGGGAGAGAGAGAGACAGAAACATCAATGATGAGAGAGTCATTGATCAAGCCCACAACTGGGCATGTGCCCTGACCGGGAATCGAACCCTAATCGCCTGGATCCCAGGTTGACGCTCAACGGCTGAGCCACACCCGGCCGGGCGAGGACCCCACTTTAAATAGCAATGGGTTCTCAATTTTTTTCTCTCAGGAATTCTTTGCTTAAAAATAACTGAAGGCCCCCAAAAGCTATTGTTATGGTAGATTATAACTAGTGATAATTATCAAAAGAGAAAAAAGGTTAAACTTAAGGATACATAAGCACACAGAGTGATGACATCATGTCCTGTAGCCTCTAAAACTCTATTATACACTTGTGAGAGTGAAAAAGTTCAAATAAGATTTAGTACTATTATGAAATAGTTTCGATATTGCGGGATCCCTGAAAGAGTCCCAGGGACCCCCAGGACCTCTGGATTACTATGTGAGAACAACCAACTGGTACAGAGAAACTGGCTTATTGAGTTCATCATAGTCAAGAGTCTTTGATTGCAGGAAACTCAACAGCTTAGGCAAAAATGGGAAGTATTTGAAAAGCTGCTGGGCTGTTGCTCCAACTTTGAGCAATCTTTGGAGATTCAGACCTCAGGAAGGGCAAGAGAGTGGCAGGGATTTAGGGTTGGGAAAGAGTAAAGAACCCAGGAAGCTTCTGGCCTCTACCTCTCCTTCCTTCATTCTTCTGTCTCAAGACTGCCTTCTCTGTTTCTCTGTGTACATGGCCACCATAGCTCCTTAACTGATGAGTCCCTAGTTCAGGTGGCCTGTACTAACTCGGGCCACTGTTTCCCAATTCCAGGTTCTTTGGAGCTAGAATCTGATTTGTCCAGGTTAGGTCAAGTGTCCACTCCTGAGCCAGCCAGCCAATCAATTCTGGCCAAGGGGAGCAGGGCCATGTGGTACAGTCTTGGCTGTCATCGCCTACCAGTGTGTGAACGGGAGATGGAGTAGAGTGGGGTGGGCAGTTCTCAGAGAGGGAGAACTGGTTTCTTTTGGGTAGTCAGCTTCAAAGTTTTCTATAGCAGAGGCAGAAACCTTGGTCCTGCTTCTTTTACTGGCTCTGTGACTATGGAGAAGTTATGAACCCTTCCTGGACCTGTTTCATCAAGAGCCAAATGGGAATAATATTTGCTCTAACTCATAGGGTATTGTAGGAATTAATTGAACTAATATATGTGAAAGAGCTTTGGATGCTATGTGTCCAGCATAGTACTAAGTGTTGGGGATGCATAATAAAGTATGAAATGCATCTTTGCTCTCAAGGATGCTGGAATTAAATTGAGGAGAAAATAGTAATAGCCATGATACAATTAGAAAGCAGCAGGCTTCTGACCATGCATTAACCAAATGCAGTAAGAATTCAGAGGAAAGAGAGAGATCAACTTGGGCAAAGAAGGGAAATAACTTGTTGAGCACTTCCTGTAGATGTAGCACTGTCCCCTGTGGTTTCACACATCTTAGTTCTTTCTCAACAACCCTGCAGTGGAGGTGTTGCTATGCCCATTTTACAGTTAAGAACGTAAAGCTTAGGAGGAGTAACTTGTCCAAAGACAGATGGTTGGTGTTTAAACCTGTGTCTGACTTTAAAGTTCATGCTGTTCTTACTCATCAATGTGGCAAGAAGATTCTTGGGGGAGTGGGATGTTAGCAGGGCTAAAGCATGGATCAGATGGGGATGGGCAGAGAGGCTGATCCATGACAGGGATCATTAAAAATACAGGTATGGACATAGCATGAGCTCGAGGTGAACCTAGGGGGATTGGCACTAGGTCACCATTGGATGTGTCAGTGGGTTTTAGATGGCAGTGAATGAATGACCATGGGTTCCTGTCCTTCAGTCCTTTTGTCTAATTGGTCTAGAAGTCTTACAGGATGGATGGGTAGGGTAATGAAGAGGTAGAACCCCAGTATGTGGGTTCTTTGAGCAGTTCAGGGGTCAGTTAATGAGCTCCTGGAATAAAATGTGGAATAGAAGGGAAATGGAAAGCCTAAGATGGCCTTTGAAGGAAGAAACAATAGCATTTGGATATAGAGGATGAAAGGGAAAAACTAAAGATGATTGACTCACTGACTCACCCACTGATTGTTTCACCCATTTATTCAGCAAATGCTTATTGAGTGCTTCTTGAATGGCTGGCCCTGTGTCAGGATCCAAGGATAGCTGTGGCCCAAATAGACATGTGCTCCACCCTCACGTGGGGGTGACAGAAGAGTCAAGTACACCAACACATGTGCAATATGATGCCAGACAATGTTAAGTGCTGGGGTGAAATGGAAGGCAGGGTGGGGGGAAAGAATGATGGAGAGAGCATGAGTAGACAGAAGTTGGTCAGGGAGGGCTCCCCTGAGGAGGTGACATTTGAGCAAGATGAGTAGGATTCTGAATTTCCAAGCTTGAGAGATTCCAGGAGACTATAAGGGGGCTACTGCCACAGCAAGAATCCCTGATTTGTCCTTTCAGTGTCCTACAGGCATGACCCTTCTTTTGCAGTTGAGGAAACTGAGGGGCAGGGAGAGTGTGGGAGCCTGGAGTCACCTGGCTGGCAGTCCTGCAGAATGAAATGAAACCCTGGCTCCCAGCAGGGCTCTCCCCTTCCCGCTGGCTGGAGCTCTGTGCCTCCAATTCCACAGAGCTCCTCCTGTCCCTGGAGGTATTTTTAGTCTCTCAGAGCCCCTTCCCTGAGTCTGCTGTTGCCTCTGTCATTCTGCCTGACTTGCTTTCACCTGCTCCCAGGCGACTGTGACAGGGCTGCGGGCTGCACACGTCAAGCTGTCCCTGGCTTCACTGAGGGTGTGTGTGTGGGGAGGGCAAGGGCAGCTGAGGGTGACCACCCTTGGTGTCATGGGCAGGCAGGGAAGCCTGTCAGTGCCTCAGGGTGACTGCCAGTGCACCTCCCAGCTCCCTCTCTGGGTCAACTCTGAGTAATGAGGGCGAGTGGAGGGGGCCCGCTGGCTGTCATGTGTATAGGGGTGAGGGGCTGGGAGGCAGAGGGAGGGAAAGAGCAGTGGAAGGGAGGAAAAGAGGGAGGTGGAATTTTGTAATTTGTTGTGGAGACAAGCTGAGGAGGTGGTAACTTGCCAGGTGGTGTTGATTGTGAAGTGTGTGTGTTTGTGTGTGTGAGAGAGAGAGAGAGAGGGCATGCACACACAAGCAAACATCTCTGGCCTTCTGACACTGAAGTCCCCAGGGCTACTTTTCCAGGCCAGGCCCCTGGGACTGCGCCATTTTCCCCACACCCCAGGTTGCTGCCATTTTATTTCTCATCTGCTGTGCCTTTCTCTCTGCCCCCAAAGGCCCCAGTAGGCCCTTTCCTGAGTTGGGAGTTTACTGCTACTCATTACCAGAGAATGACCCTGAGGAGGCTAGGGTGCTTGCTACACACGTGACCAGTGTGGGACTTCCAAAGGTTTAAAAATAACCCTTGCTGCATTCTTGCAGCTACTGTCCTGGGGCTGCAGTGCTGCCTGCTACCTCTCTAGCTAGTCTCGTCTAGCCCTGGATGTAGAGCTCTCATCTCACTCCTGCCCAGGCTATGCTGACCCTTTCTGGAGATGTACACAGGGTGGTGGTATCAGTAGTCAAGCATCAGGAGACCTTGAGCAGCCAAGGTTTCTGTTATTGGCTGGAGGGTCTAGGCAGACCACACAGGGGCCTCAGCTAAAGCCCACCCCTGTAGAGTTAGCCAAGCAGGGAGGGGAGCTCCTCACAGTCCTGGGCTCATGCCCTGTGCCCTGATGCCATGCCTGGCTGGCTCTTGAGAGACTTGAGCCGCAGAGTGTGAACAAAGGAGCTTGGCGTGATAATTGTAATTACGCTATTTGCTCCAATAAGCCCATCATCTGTTCAGCAGAGGGGAGCAGGTTGACATTTCCATTCAATATCAACAAAGCTGGAAGGCTAAGGAGTTGAACAGGTCCTACGAGCAACAGTAGAGTATGGAAATGTGGTCAGTAGAGGTTTTGCAGTGAGACTGTCCTGAGTTAATTTCCTGGCTCTGCACTCAGCTGAGTGACCTCAGGCAAGCTACTTACCCTCTCTAATTGCCTCAGTCTCCTGATCTGTTAAGTGGAGTTAACAGTAGTATCTCCCTCTGGGAGTTGTGAGTAGCTGAGCAATTTGGGGCAAGTTATCTAACTTCTCTGGGTCTCAGTTTCCTGGCCTGTAAAATGGGTTGGTATTGGTACAAAGGTGATGAAAGTTGAATGAGGAGATGTAGGTGAAGCACTCGGCCTCACAGAGTACTCAGAAACTGTAGTGATGATCAGAATAACAAGCATCGTGATACCCCAATGTCTCCTCAGGCCCGTGGCTCTGCAGGAGGCAGGAGAAGGCATGACCCCGCCTCTCAGGAAGACCACGACAAACCTTACGTCTGTGACAGTAAGTACAGGCCATGCTGCCTTCCTTCTCCTGCCCCTGCCCGTAGCCCCACTGTTTCTGGTACTTCCCTGGCTGTCAGCCCCCAGCTTCAGGCTTGTTGGTTCCTCCTCTGGGGCCTGCACCCCAGCTCGCATGCCTGCACTTCACCACAGTCACCACCTCCTCTTGCTCCCTCTTGCCCCCATGTTTCTTCGTGAGGAGAGCAAGCGGGAAGCCTCCCTGTCTTGGATGCTGTGTTCCTCTCTCTGGAAGTTGCCTTCTTTGTGGCTTTACTCCTGCTCTGTCTCATTCATGCTGTCTCCTTAAGGTTCACCCCCTATTTCTCTCTCTAGTTCAGAGAGTTACAAACAAAAGCATAACTCAAAATCCTCCAACAAAAGCACTTAGTTCCTGTGGCTTTTCATTTGTTTCCCTTTAATTTTCTTTCTTTCTCTTTCTCCTGTCCCACAAAGGGCAAGTTATGAATCTTTCTCTGATGATGACTTAGTTAGTAAATGGCCCTCGATCCATCTCCAGCCTTTATTGCTTGATTCAGAAACATCTTTTGGACAAGTGGCTGCCTGGCTCCTGGGTTTAGGGTCTGCAGACAGGGCTGGGGGAGGGGGGAGGCCAGGGAGAGTGCTGGGAACAGTGGCGGTGGGTGGACCAGAAACCTCCTTTTGGAGGCTTTGTTGTCAACTGGAAGGCTTTGTCTTCCTCGGCCACCAGAGCATTGGATGGTGGGTTTAAAATCCTTGCCCTAGTTATCTTCTCACTGTATTGGGCGCCATCTGCTCATTCCACGGCAAGGGCAGCCCTCACAAGCTCACGCCCTGACCATCCTCCCTTCCCAGCTTTCTCTGAGGATGCCGCTCTGCCTCAGGACAGAAGGGGCTGCCTGAGAACTGCAGCGAAGTGGCTGAGGGAGGGCCCTGGTACGTGGTCCCTTCCGGCGTCCGTCCATCTTGCCAGTGGCTGCATTCTCGGAAAGCAGGGAGAGAACTGGGAAGAGGGGGCTCAGGAAGTACTTTGGCGTGGTGCCATTCCCCCCCCCCCC